GAGAGGATGTGGAGAAATAGGAACACTTTTACACTGTTGGTGGGATTGTAAACTAGTTCAACCATTATGGAAAACAGTATGGCGATTCCTCGAGACAGAGACTTTTATTCATCAACTGTTTTGTTACCCTGAGGTATAGTTCATATAGGAAAAGCAGGATATATACTCGACTCTTTCTGTTCATTTTCCAGGTTTTAAAATAATTTTAAACGCAAAATAAACTCAACGAAGTCTATATGGTTAATTAGCACTCTTTCTGCATCTATGTAAATAATTAGGCCAAATCTAATGAAGAAAGACCCTTTTTGTGATGGAGAGTAACCTTTAAGATTAATATGATCAAGAGGCAGGGAGAGTGGCATTAAAACTTGTTAAAGAGCAAAAAAAAGTCACTGGATATCCTGTCTAATGCACCCTTCAGGGTTATTTCTGCCTTACAATGTCTTTTTGCTATTTCAAAACTCTGCATAAAACTGATAGTTCATCAACTGATAGTCGTATAAAACTGATAGTAGTGCAAATGATTCTTGACGATACAAATGTAAAGGAATTTTGTCTGGTAGCATGTAACTGATTATTGCCCCACTGATATTGACCACTTTTATATTTATTTGTAAATTTATTTCAGCATTCCTGATTGCTTATATGTGTGCAGTGTTTGAATTAGCCTTTCAACTGCTTGTAACTTCTTACTGATTTCCTCATTAAATAATGAGTTAGACATAGTCTTTGACACATGTCTATTTTTTTAAAAAGCTGATTCCTGGCTGGGCACAGTGGATTATGCCTGTAATCCCAGCACTTTAGGAGGTCAAGGTGGGTGGATCATGAGGTCAGGAGTTTGAGACCAGCCTGACCAACATGGTGAAAGTCCGTCTCTACTAAAAATACATAAATTAGCCGGACATGGTGCTGTGTGCCTGTAATCCCATCTACTCAGGAAGCTAAGGCAGGAGAATTGCTTGAACCCGGGAGGCAGAGGTTGCAGCGAGCTGAGATCTTCAGCCTGGGCAGCAGAGTGAGACTCCATCTCAAAAAAAAAAAAAAAAAGCTGGTTCCCTAGCATCCTCCAAAATTAACAGTATCATGAAATACTGTTTTGTCTGTTTAGTGGAGAGGGGAGTGAGTTTGAGCCATTGTGAGCCAAGAACTTAAACACATTTGATACGTTTTAATCATCTGCGTCATTAGACAGAGAGAGTCTAACCAAATACTGTATATTCTCACTTACAGGGTGGGAGCTAAACTTTGGGGACACACAGACACAAAGATGGGGACAACAGGCACTAAGGACTCCAACCGAGGGTGGAGGGGAAGAGCTGAAAAACCACCTACTGTGCTCACTAACTGGGTGATGGGATTATTAGAAGCCTAAACTTTAGCATCATGCAACATACTCATGTAACAAACCTGCACATGTACCTCCTGAATCTAAAATTTAAAATAAATATAGTCATACATAACAAAAAAACTGCAAACAAAACTATAAGGTTTTACGTAACCATATTAATTTTACATCTGTATCTCCTTTCAACCATGCCAAAAACTATTTCTTAATATAATTAATCTGTTGGATTTAATTTCACAATATCCACGCAAGTCTCAAAATAACAACGCCAATACAACTGCCAAAAAAAAAATGACTGAAAATAGTTTAAGATTTATATTTCTTTTTATTCTTACAGTACATTCTACCAGAAATAGTCAAATTATGGTGTTTTAAACTCACATGGTTCCTTCATGTGTGGTTATGCTACTGATCAGGAACCCAGGTTAGTTCCTTTTATTTCATTTTTTCTTGTTTAGGAATTGTTTCTAAAACTGAGTTTCATTTATAATTATATAAAATGATTCTAAAGTCAGGTCTATAAGTGAAGTTTCACATAAGTCTAGCCTTTATTCTGTTCCTCCACTCTATTTCCTCCCTTCTATTTTTTAATAGATAAGCATTTATTTTTTAATTTTATATTTTATCCTTCCATCTTTTTTTAATAAAAGTATATAACAGCAGCATAATACATACATTTTCTTCACTTACTTTTTTTGCACTTAATATAGTGAAGATCTCGCTATAAGAACATACAAATAACCCTATTCCCTTCTACAATTGCCTAATACTTCATGGCACAGATGAATCACCATTTTTTATTATTTATTT